CGAGTCCACTGGCTTTAACAACTAGTGCATCAAAGGGAGCACTGAAAAGATTTACCTTAACACAGAACACATTTTCAAGATTCATACTTACGTATTTATAAATAATTTAGCTTCCTCTGAGTTTTGAAAAGATCTCCATCTAGCTGTGGGAATGTTATATTTATCCATAAAGGATTTGGCCCAATCCTTGTTTGATTCAATTTGTGCAGCATCTTTTTGTGGACCAAATACATTAATTCCTTCAGATACCAATGCATCTGCAATTCCATTCGACAATGGATCTTCTGGACCCACTACCACAAGGGAGATATCATGATGTTTGCAAAATTGTTTAATATCCTGTTGAAAAATATTAACTTGTTATTCTAATAAGAAATACGCAAAAATATTAATACAAGTAGTTTTGGATAATTGTAATGAAATATTCATTAGTAAACTAGATATATCTGAAAAATAGAATGTTTACAAACTAGTATATAATGTTATTCTTAACATTGATGGTTCTTGTATTACCCCAAAATTAATCAAAATTAAAAAAATATCTTTTGAGATTCTAGTATCTCGATAAAATCACTTGGAAAAATTGTACATTTTATAAGATATTAATCAACGCAAGCTGTTAGTATGTTTATCAGTGCGGAACAAAACTTGACAATGTTTGATGAGTGGAATATGATGAGAAAAGTAACTTATTTCTAAATCCAATATGGCGGATGCCAGATAGCTCAAAACTTGAAAAAGACTTTATAATAATTAATTATTAGCAGAAATTAATAGATTGAAAAAAAAGTCGTAAAATAAAATATTACTAAAAGCAATAAAAACTGGCTATTATAGAAACTTGAAACATACTAAGCTTATGTACTCATATATATGAAATAAATTTGTCTCAGAAAAAATTAAGAAATAATCAATTTTCACCTGGTTACTGAATATAGTTATAACTGATTATAACACAATATTTTACTTAATTTATACTTTTGCTAAAAACTTGTGAGACAGATTGATTAAAAAATACTAACTTACTTAGTCTAGTGAAATTAATCAATTACTTTTTCTGTGATTATTTCGAAACAACCTCTGGCCATTCTAAAATCAATTGATCTTGAAAAAATTGTATTTTTTGAAGCGTATTTTCTTTTATTTTTCCACAAGAAGTAACCATATTTGATTCGGACTCATTGAATGTGACACCATATTTTCAGTTCCACTCAACATTTCCTTCAATTTTATTTTGATTTTGTCTGATTCGATCATCAGAATTTTAGTGTCGTCTAGAAGTCTGATTGATTGATTGATAATATGTTTATTGTTTAAGAATAAATTCTTGTTACAAACACAATGTCATAAATAAATATCAATATAAACATAAAGTATAAGATGTGAAATATAAGTGTATAAAATATAAATGATTAAAATAAAATATAAACTGTATATAATACATACATATGCAGAGGTTACTTGACAAGAACAAGGACAACGAATAAAAATATATGTTTCACACACAGTTCAATCACATTGTAAATTACAGTGCATCGTTAAAATATTCTTGTAGGTCATAATAGGCTTTATCACTTAATAGTTTTGTACATTTGTTTCCAAATATGATGAAAGGAGTCTCTTTGATTTAATTGGGAAGTTTATTGTATATCCTGATTCCATTATATATCAACGAGTTTTGAAGTGGAATTGGTAGACTCAGTTCATTTTACCGCCTTGTATGGTATGTGGCTGTAGCTGTAGATTCTTAGGTCTCCCTATTTTTATGTATAATTGACACGGTTTCCAAAATAAATATCGAAATAACCGTAAGGATTCTATGTTTTCGAAAAAGGGGTTTACATGAATCCCGCCATTTCGCTTTACATAATTACCTGATAGCCTTTTTCTGCAAGACAAAAACCGACTGAATAAGTTGTTTACTGCAAGCACCCCAAAATGGTATACCATACCTTAGATGAGAGTTTATTAAGGCATAATACACTACTTTCGCTGCAGCAAACCCCAGTTCCTTTGAGATGTTTCTCAGTGTGAAACATCCTGATGCTAACTTGTTGTTGATGTGTGCAATATGCTAAGAGAATTTTAAATTTTCATCTAAATACATTCCCAAAAGTTTCAAAGTGGAGTTATTTTTTATTGTGTTATTATCTAGGGGTATATCAGGTATATTACACTTGAATGCTAATATATTTGTTTTGCTAGTATTCAATGATAGAAGATTTGAGTCAAACCAATTCTTCACTTTTTTCATGTCTTGGCACATTTTGTTATGCAATCTGTTTTTGTCCTTGTCATGCCACACTAATGTGGTGTCGTCAGCAAATAAGGTGAAGCTTCCTGTAATCGATATGTTGGTCAAATCATTAATGTATAACAGAAACAGTATAGTACCTAACACAGAGCTTTGGGGTACTCCACAATTTATTTCTCCCACGTCCGAGTTAGATGACATTCTTACAAATTGTTTTCTGTCAGAAAGGTATGAACTAATCCAAATATGACTGTTGTCCCTAAAACCATATCTTATGAGTTTCCGAAGCAATATGCTGTAATTGACACAGTCAAAAGCTTTGGATAAGTCACAAAGCACTGCTGCAGTGGCTTATACACCAATTGCAATACTGTTGAATATAGCTTCACTTGTACTCTTAAAATTCTGAAAGCCATACTGATGTGTACTCAATATCCCATTACTGGTCAAAAATTCCATTATTTTTTTTTACCAGTTTTGCAATTATTTTTGCTAAGGTTGGGATGAGCGATATAGGCCTAAAGTTTGCTGAATCTTCATTGTTGCCGCCTTTATGGAGAGGAATGACAACTGAGGTTATGAGAATTGAAGGAAATGTTCCTTGCTCAAAGGAGTTGTTAATCAGTTCAACAAGTATATTGAGCGCAGTCTCAGGAAGACTTTCGAGAATTTTAATAGAAATTTCATCAAAACCAGATGCTTTCTTATTTTTTATGTTTCCTATTACTTCTTTCAATTCATTTATACTGATGTAGTGTAATGAAAAGGTACTGTCTACATAGATATCACTGAGATATTCTAGGGGATTGTGAGTAGGTACAATGTTTTGACTGAGTTTTGTTGCGACGGAGCAGAAAAAGCTGTTTAGAAGGTCCGGATTCAAGGATGTATCTGTTGTGTTTGTATACATATTTTTTCCTCTGAGTTATTGACCAGCTTTCTTTAGCTTTGTTGTCAGCTTCCGTGATTCTGTTACTATAGTACAAGTTTTTTGCAGCCCTGATTACCTTTAAAAATCTGTTTTTCCGTTAATCAGCTGACGCCCCCATACGAACGACAACTCTCAGAAATTGAGAAACTTGTGCGACCGAATCCCCAAAAAACCATATAAAAATGAATCAATCACTTACCGTGCAATGCCTTTGTGAGAAATGTCTTTGCGATGCTGTTCCCCTTCGAACTGTATAATATCACAAGCTCGTGTAGCTTGAGCAGCAGCAACTGTGAGTTGCGGTGCCATAGCAACAGCTATCAAAACCCTTCCTCCATTTGTTACAATATTTCCATCTTTTGAAGCCGTTCCACAATGGAAAACTACGTGTTTTTGTTTCGAAGATACAAGATCTATGCCTAAAAGTTTAGGTTGTACTTGGTTTCCATCTTAAGCCCAATATAAATATGTCTCATTCATGAAATTCTTTCAAAAATGATTTTTCATAACTATAAAAATATTTGGAAAGAAACTAATGTTTGGAAACATTTTCGCTTTCTACTTCTCGAAGTAAGAAATGGAAATTCTTTATGGTTGCACACAAAAAATAACTCATTCAAGAATAAAGTATCATCCATTTATGAAAAATACAATGAAATGTTATTTAAAAAAGTTGTTTTAATATAAAAATTACGCTCAAATACAAAGAAGGCATGACCTATTTTTTATTATTGTTTGTAAAATTTTATAACGCTCTTACGTTTTATACACAATATTTCAAGAGTTTGGATAACTACCCGGAATTGAAAAAACATGCAGCACACATTCTGTTCATGTTTGGTAGTACCTATTTATGTGAGCAGATGTTTTCCGTCATGAAAATAAAGTAAAAACAACATCGCACAAGACTTACTAATGAACATCTGCAATAATTACAACGAATATGATACCTAACATCATTGAGCTTGTCAAAAACAAGAGAAGTCAGGTATCTGGATCCTTGAGCTTAAAATAGTTACCTCTTTTATAACTTTGTTATGATTTTTAACTATATAATTAAATAAATGAAATGTTATAATTCTGTATTTTATTCAATTTGAATATGGCCCACCTATACATTCTAAATTTAATATATGGCCCTCTGCAAAATTGAGTTTGACACCTCTGT